ATTATTTTTAAGGGATTGGATGCTCATTTGAACAGAGCCCTCAGTAAATCTTGTTTATTTAAATTAAACGTGCTTCCTTGAATTTTTTTGTATGTCTTGTCCACCCATTGTACTGATCTGTGCAATATGACGGCACTTTGCAAATAGTAACGACCATGTAAATCTGAAGATACTTACAGTTTGGGTTGTAGCAGAATGCTCCAGCTTGGCTCCCATAATAACATGGCATGTTTTGAAATGTACCATTGATAGCAATTAACCCAACTCCCCAATTGTACCAAGCATATCTGCAAGGAAAAATTGGACCAGTTTGATAAGTGACAGACAGGGATTAAACAATGAAAACTGTGCACGGAGTATGTCACGGTACAGACAGAAAAGTTATTATGTACAGGGTGCACCTGATAATGCACTTTTTTTCTTCCTAAGAATTGCTAGTCATGAATCGTGACACTACCCAACTATTTTTGGCTCTGCTAAACCCACCATCCCGTGGACCACCCATAATGAAAAGGTTTATTAATGTGTCCCACCACCAACACAATACAGAGGTAGCCTTACAACAATGACTTTGTGGTGTGTATAAAAGACACCAATGTGAAAACAAGTGAGCATGTAGATCAACCAATATAGATGATTATTAGTGTCTTGGGATGCCTCCCTTGGTATTTCAGGGCGGTCAAATTGAACCCAGCGATTAGTGGAACAAGAAATACACCCCCTCTTATTTGTAAGGAACTCCAAAGGATGACCAGAACCAGGATACAAATAAATGTTATTGGTACAAAGTAAAATCAATAAAGCAAAATTGATCCAACACATTTCTTTCCAAACTTGGACTTCTTCTTCTTCAACTAAGCTAAACAATCACGGCTTGCCCCGTTTTTGTTTATATACTGTGTAGAATTTCAATAAATACTGTGTAACAATGCAGAAAATGTAAATGAATGCAGTAAAAAAACATAAACTTATGTTAATGATGCTATTACTGAAACATCGTGTTCAGCTAACGTTCTGAACTTATAAACACATAGTGTGTATTGTCAGGTATTCAAAGGGAATTTCAAATTTTAGACTAAAACTGAACTGAAGATTCTGCTAGCAGTTTGGAGATTTTGTTAGAATACTAAATGTTACCTGTTAAATGTTATATTGCGGTTACTTGTAGTCTGAATTGCACTCAGTGTGGGAACGGTATCGCCATTCATAAGGCAAGTGAGAGTGGCTTCTGTGAAGTTTGAGTTAGGTCCTTCTAAGGAGGCGTCGTACAGCAAATTGGACACTCCTAAAATAAGGAGAAATATTAAAAAAATAAGGAATGGAAGACACGGCATATTTTGATTTAAATGTTTCTGTGCTCCCTGAGGTTGGTGTTATCGGTTATATCTATAAGGTAGTTATTTTTACTGCAACAGAATGCAAGCTAAGCAGGTCTCAATTTTCTTATAAATATTTGTGATATTGTCTCACCCTTTAACTTCTGCTCAAATCTAAAATATACATGTAAGCACATGGAAATTGTTTCACTTATGTGCCAAACTTATCTAATCAAGGTGACAATAAGAAACTCACTAGCTTAACCTTTAGTAAATCCCCGGCTCAGGTCTCATATTATATTTAATAATTATATATAAATATGGATTTATGACTGTTCCTCTTATTTTTTACTCTGTTGGTTACTTCTTCAAGTAAAATGGTGGAAAAATGTGCCGATCGTTGTACTGCCAAATATTTACATAATATTTATATACACTGTTTGGCCCATTTTCGCTCCTTTTTGGCTAGTCTGATTTGTTTTTCCAAATCTTTTTCGGTGGATGAAATTCTGACAAGTTGAACAAATTTTACTCTAAGCACCATGATCTTTTCAGTGATTTAAAGTGGTTATGGTTCATGGAGTACTTAGTGTAACCACTCTGCTGCTGAAGGTGGAACTCCACCTCCGGCAGCGTCACTGGGGCGTCATTAGCCAGCCCAGAATAGGAGTTCTGGACTGTCTAATACCAATGCTTGTGACAAACGTCTAGTGTCCACTCCTCAACCCATCCTTCTTTTACATCCCAGCAGCTAGGAGGAGTAATGTCAGTGGAGGATGATTGGGCTAAGGGGAGAACTTTTTTTTTGAAACTTTGACTAGGGGGGATAGGAAGGTATATTGTACCCAAAAGCAGTGTTTTCTTTTAAACGTTGTTTTTGGTTTCCAGTAACCATCTAAGGTAAAGGTCGTGGTTAGGAGAAGGAACATAATCTGCATTTTATAGACGCCTATATTAGAAAAAAACACACAGGAACCATATGTAAAACCAGGGTTCTCCAAATTCTGGCCCGCCAGATGTTGCTAAACTACAACTCTCATAAAATGTTTAATATATAAATAATATTTCTAATGGGAGCCGTTAAGGGAAGAGTTTTATAATAGCAAAGTAAAGAGAAATATAATATTAAAAACTCATTTAGTTATTGGAATGTCCCTGCAAAAAATTGTATGTGGGGCATATGAAAAGTCCCCTTTTTTTACATTTTATGTCCCAATATGAGTTATTTAGTTGGTCTACATATATGTGTCTTGATGTTAGTGTTTTAATGATTATTTTGTTTTTCTATCATGTTTGACATTTTATTGCAATTTTTGCCAGCATATGGATTTTATTATTTTTATACCAATTCTTATATATATTTTGCATACATATCTTCTCATTGCGTTGTTTCTTATGAGAATAAAGATAGATATATAATATTTTTATTATACGTTCATAAGAGTTTTTTTATAGTACGTATTGAATGCTCTATTCTTAATACACATTTTGTAACATTAATGGTTAATTCCGGCAGTAATTGTTATTCCATAATTTTTATTCAATACCTTGGAGTTAGCACCTATTTGTTGAATGTCATTTTATTGTTTTTTTTTTTTATAAATTCTTTATTTTGAAAGTTTTTTTGTTTTTATGGGGTGGGGGTACAGAAAGAAGAAAAAGGGGCATTAGAGTTGATGGTACAAGTTTCACCTAATATACAGGGGTTTAGTAAAGAGGTCTGACTTCTTGGGCTAACATGCCAAGAGTTTTCCAGTGGTTTCAACACGTGTTAGGTTTAAATAGACATTTTCTGCGTTCTTGTTAGCTTCTGTTATATTAGTTTAGGGTTCGGGGTGGGGTACAGAAATAAGAGGGGTGGGAGGTAGGGTAATCTGCTGTATACATTTCTCTTTAAACAGATTCTTTGTTTATTGTTTTTCCATTTTCATATCCGTTTGTCATTTGCATTGGGTGGGAATGGATACAGAATTGAATAGTGGGGGGGAGGGTAACAGGGTATAAAGCTTTTTGTCACAGTATTGCCTTATGGTACGTATACAGCCTTTTGAGTCTGGTATGCTCGGTCTTGTCTTTGAAGATAGTGCTTGTATAGTTGCCCTCTGTTGAGGGTGTCTGTTTGTTCTGTGCCCCTTTTGAAGTGGGGGAGGCTCTTCTTGGCTTACAGGTTGTTGTGTGACTCCTGTACTGTGGTTGGGAGTGTTTACTCGGTGTGGGGTGGGGATTTGGGTAGGCTCGGTGATTTGGGGGAGTGGGGGGTTAGTGTGTGACCTCTTAATCCCTTTGGTACATCTGTCTTGAGACTGTGTGTATGTCCCTTGGGATTGTCGCGTCTGTGTTGAGTTGGTGTGATTTCCTTCAAATGTTGTGTGGGGCTTAGGGTGGGGAGGTGTGTTGGGGGAGGTGAGAAGGGTTAGGTATAGTGAGTAGGGGTGCTTTTCTGGGTGTCTTCTTGCTACTTTTTGGCGTTGCATCTATTGTGGTTCTAGTGTGTGCCCGTTTGTTGGTGTGCTTGTCTCAAGTTTTGGTTCTCCTGTGTTGCCGTGTGTTCTGGGGTCCATATTGCCCCCTTGTTGTCGGTGTGTCCCTCTCCTGTGGGGGGGTGGGGGCTCTGGGGGGGGTGTTTGTTGCATGATGGGAGATGGAGGAGGGGTGTGCCCATCTGGTGCACTATGGGTTCCGAGTGTCTCCCCCCTGGGAGAGGGTGTCGTAGTCTGTGTTTTTCCGTGGGAGTGTTTTGCCCGGGAAGTGTCGTGTTATACTTTTGTCCCTTTGATTGCGAAGTCAAGTGAGCTCAACTGAGTCATTTTATTGTTTTAAGTCCCAAATGACCATTATTTTCATCATGAGTTTAAGAGATTTTGTTTTCTTGCAGGATAGCCATATTTTATGCATTTTGCATGACTGATTTTTGTATAACTTTTTTTTTGTGTGCAGGAGATGCACGCATGTCAAAAACATACAGTTACATGGTATGTGGATATCATTTGCACATATAATAAACAAGATTAATAAAGATAGGCTTCATAATATAATCAGGCTTGTTCAGACTGTTGGGTAGGTATAACTGAGCTTAGCATGCCTGACTATCATAACGGATAATGAATGTTGGGTTACATGCTAATACTGACTATCATAACTGATAATGAATGTTGGGTTACATGCTAATACTGACTATCATAACGGATAATGAATGTTGGGTTACATGCTAATATTGACTATCATAACGGATAATGAATGTTGGGTTACATGCTAATACTGACTATCGTAACTATAATGAATGTTGGGTTACATGCTAATACTGACTATCATAACGGATAATGAATGTTGGGTTACATGCTAATATTGACTATCATAACGGATAATGAATGTTGGGTTACATGCTAATACTGACTATCATAACGGATAATGAATGTTGGGTTACATGCTAATACTGACTATCATAACGGATAATGAATGTTGGGTTACATGCTAATATTCACTATCGTAACGGATAATGAATGTTGGGTTACATGCTAATATTGACTATCGTAACTGATAATGAATGTTGGGTTACATGCTAATATTGACTATCATAACTGATAATGAATGTTGAGTTACATGCTAATATTGACGATCGTAACTGATAGTGAATGTTGGGTTACATGCTAATACTGACTATCATAACGGATAATGAATGTTGGGTTACATGCTAATACTGACTATCATAACGGATAATGAATGTTGAGTTACATGCTAATATTGACTATCGTAACGGATAATGAATGTTGGGTTACATGCTAATATTGACTATCATAACGGATAATGAATGTTGGGTTACATGCTAATATTGACTATCATAACGGATAATGAATGTTGGGTTACATGCTAATATTGACTATCATAACTGATAGTGAATGGTGAATTACATGCTAATATTGACTATCGTAACGGATAATGAATGTTGGGTTACATGCTAATATTGACTATCATAACGGATAATGAATGTTGGGTTACATGCTAATATTGACTATCGTAACGGATAATGAATGTTGGGTTACATGCTAATATTGACTATCATAACTGATAATGAATGTTGAGTTACATGCTAATATTGACTATCATAACGGATAATGAATGTTGGTTACATGCTAATATACTGACTATCATACGGATAATGAATGCGTTAATTACATGCTAATATTGACTATCATAACGGATAATGAATGTTGGGTTACATAATATTACTCATCATAACGGATATGAATGTGAGTTAATATTGACTATAACGGATAATGAATGTTGGGTTACATACTAATATTGACTATCATAACGGATAATGAATGTTGGGTTACATTTAATATTGACTATCATATAACTGATAATGAATGTTGAGTTACATGCTAATATTGACTATCAACGGATAATGAATGTTGGGTTACATGCTACTGACTATCATAACGGATATGAACGGATAATGAATGTTACATGCTAATATTGACTATCAGACTATCAAGTTGGGTACATGCTAATACTGACTATCAGAATGTTGGGGATTACATGCTAATATCGTTAATCATGCTAATATTGACTATCGTAACGGATAATGAATGTTGGGTTACATACTAATATTGACTATCATAACGGATAATGAATGTTGGGTTACATGCTAATATTGACTATCGTAACTGATAATGAATGTTGAGTTACATGCTAATATTGACTATCATAACGGATAATGAATGTTGGGTTACATGCTAATACTGACTATCGTAACGGATAATGAATGTTGAGTTACATGCTAATATTGACGATCGTAACGGATAATGAATGTTGGGTTACATGCTAATATTGACGATCATAACGGATAATGAATGTTGGGTTACATGCTAATATTGACTATCATAACGGATAATGAATGTTGGGTTACATGCTAATATTGACTATCATAACGGATAATGAATGTTGGGTTACATGCTAATACTGACTATGATAACGGATAATGAATGTTGGGTTACATGCTAATATTGACGATCGTAACTGATAATGAATGTTGGGTTACATGCGAATATTGACTATCATAATGGATAATGAATGTTGGGTTACATGCTAATATTGACGATCATAACGGATAATGAATGTTGGGTTACATGCTAATATTGACGATCCTAACGGATAATGAATGTTGGGTTACATGCTAATATTGACTATCATAACGGATAATGAATGTTGGGTTACATGCTAATATTGACTATCGTAACGGATAATGAATGTTGGGTTACATGCTAATACTGACTATGATAACGGATAATGAATGTTGGGTTACATGCTAATATTGACTATCGTAACTGATAATGAATGTTGGGTTACATGCTAATATTGACTTTCATAACTGATAATGAATGTTGAGTTACATGCTAATATTGACGATCGTAACGGATAATGAATGTTGGGTTACATGCTAATATTGACTATCGTAACGGATAATGAATGTTGGGTTACATGCTAATACTGACTATGATAACGGATAATGAATGTTGGGTTACATGCTAATATTGACTATCGTAACTGATAATGAATGTTGGGTTACATGCTAATATTGACTATCATAACTGATAATGAATGTTGAGTTACATGCTAATATTGACGATCGTAACTGATAGTGAATGTTGGGTTACATGCTAATACTGACTATCATAACGGATAATGAATGTTGGGTTACATGCTAATACTGACTATCTTAACGGATAATGAATGTTGAGTTACATGCTAATATTGACTATCGTAACGGATAATGAATGTTGGGTTACATGCTAATATTGACTATCATAACGGATAATGAATGTTGGGTTACATGCTAATATTGACTATCGTAACGGATAATGAATGTTGGGTTACATGCTAATATTGACTATCATAACGGATAATGAATGTTGGGTTACATGCTAATACTGACTATCATAACGAAAATGAATGTTGGGTTACATGCTAATATTGACTATCGTAACGGATAATGAATGTTGGGTTACATGCTAATATTGACTATCATAACGGATAATGAATGTTGGGTTACATGCTAATACTGACTATCATAACTGATAATGAATGTTGGGTTACATGCTAATATTGACTATCGTAACGGATAATGAATGTTGGGTTACATGCTAATATTGACTATCCTAACTGATAATGAATGTTGAGTTACATGCTAATATTGACTATCGTAACGGATAATGAATGTTGGGTTACATGCTAATATTGACTATCATAACGGATAATGAATGTTGGGTTACATGCTAATATTGACTATCGTAACGGATAATGAATGTTGGGTTACATACTAATATTGACTATCGTAACGGATAATGATATTGAATGGTGAATTACATGCTAATATTGACAATCATAACGGATAATGAATGTTGGGTTACATGCTAATATTGACTATCGTAACGGATAATGAATGTTGGGTTACATGCTAATATTGACGATCATAACGGATAATGAATGTTGGGTTACATGCTAATATTGACTATCGTAACGGATAATGAATGGTGAATTACATGCTAATATTGACGATCATAACGGATAATGAATGTTGGGTTACATGCTAATACTGACTATCATAACGGATAATGAATGTTGGGTTACATGCTAATATTGACTATCATAACGGATAATGAATGTTGGGTTACATGCGAATATTGACTATCATAACTGATAATGAATGTTGGGTTACATGCTAATATTGACTATCATAACGGATAATGAATGTTGGGTTACATGCTAATACTGACTATCATAACGGATAATGAATGTTGGGTTACATGCTAATACTGACTATCATAACGGATTATGAATGTTGGGTTACATGCTAATATTGACTATCATAACGGATAATGAATGTTGGGTTACATGCTAATACTGACTATCATAACGAATAATGAATGTTGGGTTACATGCTAATACTGACTATCATAACGGATAATGAATGTTGGGTTACATGCTAATATTGACGATCGTAACTGATAATGAATGTTGGGTTACATGCTAATACTGACTATCATAACGGATAATGAATGTTGGGTTACATGCTAATATTGACTATCATAACGGATAATGAATGTTGGGTTACATGCTAATATTGACTATCATAACGGATAATGAATGTTGGGTTACATGCTAATATTGACTATCATAACTGATAATGAATGTTGGGTTACATGCTAATACTGACTATCATAACGGATAATGAATGTTGGGTTACATGCTAATATTGACTATCGTAACGGATAATGAATGTTGGGTTACATGCTAATACTGACTATCGTAACGGATAATGAATGTTGGGTTACATGCTAATATTGACTATCATAACGAATAATGAATGTTGGGTTACATGCTAATATTGACTATCATAACGGATAATGAATGTTGGGTTACATGCTAATACTGACTATCATAACTGATAATGAATGTTGGGTTACATGCTAATATTGACGATTGTAACGATAATGAATGTTGGGTTACATGCTAATATTGACTATCATAACGGATAATGAATGTTGGGTTACATGCTAATATTGACTATCATAACGGATAATGAATGTTGGGTTACATGCTAATATTGACTATCATAACGGATAATGAATGTTGGGTTACATGCTAATATTGACTATCATAACTGATAATGAATGTTGGGTTACATGCTAATACTGACTATCATAACTGATAATAAATGTTGGGTTACATGCTAATATTGACTATCATAACGGATAATGAATGTTGGGTTACATGCTAATATTGACGATCATAACGGATAATGAATGTTGGGTTACATGCTAATATTGACAATCATAACGGATAATGATTGTTGGGTTACATGCTAATACTGACTATCATAACTGATATTGGATGGTGAATTACATGCTAATATTGAACAGTTAAACAAGTTGTACCATCATGATTAACTAGCTAGTGTAAAGTACCACCTGGCGCTGGTTGCTTTAAACTAAAGATAAATAACTGCCCTCATGTCAAGAGATGCTGTTACTGGGGATATACATGCAGGATATCACATTATTCAGCCTATGTCCCTCTCACAGATTGCACTGCATCGACAAAAATAAGGGCTCAGGTCCCGCATCTTCTTACCCCTCCTGCCCCGGGCTGTAATAAAGTCCAGTGCACTAGACTTACATGGCCCGTCTCGTGTTGCGGTCAGGACTTGGCGTCAGGGCCTTCTGACAGGCTGCTTCTTCTGGAAGTGATTAACCCCTTAAGGACACATGACGGAAATATTCCGTCATGATTCCCATTTATTCCAGAAGTTGTGTCCTTAAAGGGGTTAAGGGCCTTCCGTGAGTGTGAGTTGTGTGCCGGAGATTGTCTCATTTGGATCTTGGCCCGGGCGGGTAGTGATCTGCAGCAGAACAGAGGTGGCTGCATCCAAGTGGCTTCCGAGGTGTTTACCTTCGCTTCCAGGGATATCAGGGCCGCGTCAGTGTTGCGCCTGGCAGGTCGCGGCTTGGTATTGCTGTGTATATGGTCAGGCTGGTTTTCAGCTGCTGCAGGTTTCGCCTTACGTTGATGGACTCAAGACCAGAGTTGCGACCATATATGGTCAAAGGCCTTATTTCTCCGCTTCTCTTGTGAGGCCCACATCATGAATGTTTGGGAGCTGGTCGCTTCCTGCCGGCTGCCATCTTAGTGCTCTTGTAACCAGGAGTCAGCTCAGCGGGAACCGCCATCTCCAGCTTGGGTGAGCGGATCAGCGCTTTAGTGGGGACCAGGATAACCCCCACCGGTCCAAGGGGGGAGGGGAGATGGCAGCATGATGGGTCCACATCATCGACCGCGGAACAAGGCGAGCGGCTTTTTCTCCTCTCCCCAGTCGCCCGTAGGCTACAATCCCGTCCCATATTGGAGCTGTTGACCACCCTCTCCTGTACAGCTAATTGTGGTCACAGAAGTTCACCGGATCATATAGCGTGTTACTATTTGTAGAGGGACAGCGTTTTTCGGTTATAACAGATTAATTCAGTAGGGTATTCCCAGAGCTGACCCAAGATGCATCCAGCTTGCTCGGCAGTCAGACTCCTCTCCCTTCCCTCCCCCCCCCCCTTTATTACTTTTTTTTTTAATGATTGGTACTGTGAATTGAATTATTTCCCCATTTTTATAATTTTAGTATTACACTATGTCCTAGTTTCCACAAATAACAGGGGCTTCTATTGCTTTAGGCATTTTATTTGCAGTTTTATATATATATATAGGAGTCCTTTATTAAGCTGATTTACTTTGAATTTGTTCTTGAGTTACTTTCACTTGTTGCACAGTTCACCTTTATATCAGTAAAGTATCTTTCTGTTTATAGAGCTGTGTTAACTTGTGTAAAGTTTAGATACTGTAAAAAGTTTAGATACTGCATATTTGTTGAACTGTTCTTTGAACAGAGCTGAATAAGTACAGTGCTTATTTGATCTAAATCTTGATAAGAAAACTATTTTTCAACTGTAATTTCCTGGATTGATTGATTTATGGCTTGAATTATTAACTTTTTGAATTATTTTTTTCTTTTGCTATACAGTTAACCCTTTATACCAGAAAGTAAATTATGTTTTCTGTTTATAAACTCTGCTAACTTGTTGAAATGCCCTTCTAAATGTTTAAATGTTCACAGATTCTGCATATTTGATTTAATTTTCCTGCACAATGCAGAATACGTACTGTCCTAGTTTTAACAATCAATAGGACTTCTATTGCTTTAAGCATTTTATTTACAGTATATATAAATATATATATACACACACATATATACAGTATATATATACACATATATATATTTACAGTGCATACACACACACACACACACACACACACACACATATATATGTGAGTCCCCTATTGAGCTAATTTCCTTTGAATTATGGCCTGAATGATTTTATTTTGTTGCATAGTTAACTTTTTATATCAGAAAATAAATTATGTTTCTGTATATAAACTAAATGATCAAACGTTTACAGATACTGTGTATTTGTGTATCCTCTGATGAAGTGACCCTGAGAGTCACGAAACACGTAAGGCTGAGTAACAAGCATTGTGAATACCGGAGATTGCCTAACAGAGATCGCAGTGGTGAGACGCTGGTCTAACTACAGGAAGACTGTATGCTCTGTTTGTCTATTTCATTTAATGAATCATGGGATTTGTAGTTCAGCAACATCTGGAGGGCCACAGTTTGGAGAACCTTACTTCTTTAAATTGATGCAAAATGTGTCACTAAATTACAATACGCAGGTCACTTCTTCACAGTCCCTGGCTCAGTTAATGAGCCCTAAAGGAATAGGTGACAATAAAATATTTTTTTGTTGAAGCCAGTTTTTCGAAATATAAGACTGACTTTTCTCTCTATTTACTCATGAGAGATATTTATATAAAATGTATGCTGTGACTGACAGAAACCAGCTAACAAAACAATAAAGGGGAACTAGTGACTCTCAAGGCATAAATATAATTACCACTATGGATACCGCACTCTCCTGGATCCCAGGGTGCACCGGGCCCGAGGTTGGCCAATCCTCACAATGTGATTTGCAAAAAAGTGATGATGGTCCAGGCACTCAAGTTCAATTCAGCTTGACAAAACTTGACAAAGGCCCTGTTGTGGGCCGAAACATTGTTTTGATTCTGCTCCAATAAATCTGCCCACTGGATTGAGCTTGAGTGCCTGGACCATCATTACTTTTTTGCAAATCTCTATGAATAAACACCAACATATTAGTTGTATAAGCAGTGCAAATACACAAAATATGGCACAGAAATACAAACAAGACTAACATAATTTGACAAACTTACCATTCTTGATGCAATATGTATATTCTGATTTCCGAGCTACACAGTTCTTAGTGATAAGACCCAGGCTGTTGTTGGAACAGTTTGGAGACATTGTGATACGAAGCATCACAAGATTCTCTTCCTGTATCCAGCCCCACCTAGAAAATGGGAAGGTTTAAACATGTAAAGTATAACAGCCAAGGACTGTCAGAGTATTTATATCGGCAGACATTTTGTGCTATGATAGAAACTAAAAGTGTATATTCTGAGTCACTCTGAACAGACCAGACTCCATTTTGTTATTCCAAGTTAACAAAGACAAAGAGACACAGGATTTCTTTCTGTAAGACTGGCCTCTTTGCCAGAGCTAAGGAATGCATAGTATAAACAAGTGATAAGAAGAATATAATCAAATCTAAACCCAGACAATTGTGACAGAGAAGATTAAATAATTTAATATTTAACTGTCTATATATATAAGGTACCATTGTATGGAAAAGGGTAAACTTAGTTCATGATCTGTCATATCAGAAATTATGGCAGGAATTGCAGACGCTAAGTCTGGACAAAATTTAAGAAATCCTTTGAAATTTTAAATTATGGCACTATAAAGATAACGCAAAATGACGTCAAAATAGTCACCAGGAAAAGTTAACTCTTTCCTGGATAGGTATGTTTAGTGGGACAAGACTGCCCTCTATAGACCAAATAACTAATTTGCGATCTGGAAGATAACCACACCTCTAGTGCTTCTATTGGGTTATCAACTGATGACGTACAGAGAGTATGGCCCTTTAAAAGTTAAGACAAAGGGAAGATAGAGAGACGAGAGAGGCAGATGCAGGACATATGCAAAGGAGAGGAGAGAGGAATTGGAAGTTTGGGGACTCCAACTCGGACAACATCTGAGACTAACACTCTACTCCTAAAACTCTAACACTTAGAATTTACTGACTTTCACCAACACCTCCATGCAGAGAGACATCCAAATAAGTTCCTGAGACTATCTACCAATCGGATGAAATATCTACTCAACTGGTAATTATACTGGTTTCATTTAATTAAATTAAATTAATTAAAATGTATTAATAGCATTATATATGACTGGATAAAGCACGGTCAGATTTCCATATTAAGAAATCTTAGTTAACTAAGAATATATAGTTATAAACATTCCATTCTGCAGGTGGAATTAAGAATAATTATATATTGATGTGATATTATCACGTGTTAGCATACCGCTGTTTTTATCCAGGTGTATTGATTTGCTCTAAATTAAGATAGATATCTTTTAGACAAATTAAAAATCTGCTTATATAATGTTAGATTCTCTTATTGGATAGTTTAAGGAAATGACTAATGAACTGGATTAAATGTTATTTTATTTAAAATGACATCAGAATAGATCTTAACTACCTAGGAGATCTAGCCAGCATTGAAAGGGTTATTCTAACTGTCTGCTAAACTTTACGACCTTACGCTGCACTCTGAGGAATTCTGTTCTTCGCTGTGAAAAGTTTCACTTAAGTCTGTGTTAAGGATACCTCATAAATCGTCAGAATTCTTGACAGAAAATGCTAGTTAGCCATTGAAACGTAATACCCATTTCTTTGTATTGCATATAATTTTGTACTGGATATTCATTGATTATTGTTATGCATGTTACATAATATTATTTGTTAATTATTGGTTATCATAAATAAAATCTATTTTTATACATTGTGATTATTTATATGAAATACTTTTCACTTAACACGATAAACGTTCTTTGGGATCTGAGAATTGAATTAGTGGGCAATTCTCACTGTTACTATTATTATCCCATAAATATCCCCACAGGACTGCACCCCTATCATGCTCAGTCAACCTTATGGACGGGAGGAGAACACAGCTGGACTGGTTCTGGTGACATTAGATGTTGAGAGATAATGTCTGCATTAGTGTTATCTAATTTGCCAGTCACTGACCACTGCACCCGCTGGCATAAAAGCAGGGAGTCACAAGAGGCACACTTGTCCCCGATAATTATCTCCACTAAGAACCCATCTATACCTGGTGATCTAGATAGTACTGCAAGAAATGTGTGCCACCAACAATACTAATCTCTGCTCAAATATAAAAACAAAAGCAGACCCTAAACCTGGCATAAGACCACGGTGCGGTCAGTGGGACATGATCCTTTGTAGTTGTGTAGAAAAGGAATGCAGGGAATCAGTGCCTTCACAAGTGTCCTCAACTCAAATAAAGATGGAGCAATATGCAAAACAAGATGACCAATAAAACGGAATATGGTGTAGTATTTTTGATACTGGTGATTATAAATAAAAGAAAGGAAATGCACTCATAATGTTCTGGAGTTTGAAATCAGCTCCAGATATATGCGCTTGGATGGTACAGTCTCCGTCTGTGGATATGCTGACCATGTAGCATATCAACAGACGGGGATTGTACCGTCCGGTCACATATATCTGGAGCTGATTTTAAACTCCAGAAGATTGTGAGTGCATTTCCAAGATCAGCATATCTACAGATGGGATTTTACCGTCCGATCACATATATCTGGAGCTGATTTCAAACTCCAGAAGATTGTGAGTGCATTTCCAAGATCATCATATCTACAGATGGGATTTTACCGTCCGATCACATATATCTGGAGCTGATTTTAAACTCCAGAAGATTGTGAGTGCATTTCCTTTCTTTTATTTATAATCATCAGTATCAAAAATAATACACCATATTCCGTTTTATTTGTCCTCTTGTTTTAAATCGTTTATTTGAGCTGAGGACACTTGTGAAGGTGCTGCCTCCCTGCATTCCCTTTCTATATCTACCTATGGCCAGAAGGAAAAGACTCTGGTTTGGAAAGTCTGAACTGCACACAGACCTTGAGCAAGCACTAGAAACCCCATCTATTTATTTATAGTAATTGTGTGTCTGACAGGTAGGAGACAGGGTGCGTTTGCCAAGCATGTGCCTCCCGCCTGTGAAAGCATTCGCACATGTCTCAGAACAGACCATCATGTGGCCAGCCATACATTCAGCTTTCAGCCACCTTACAGGATAAAAAGCCTTTGTACCTGTCTTAGCATGCTCCTGCAACAGGCGGATATATAGTATAAAAACAAAGCATCAGTCTTGTCTTATTCTTGATTTTACTACCATAAAGAAAATGTGAGCAGGTGTTTGGGTCAATAAATGCTACAGCTATTGCTTCCGCTCAAAAGTAGTTGGAGTTTGAAACCGGGGCTAATTTTCAATGTCATTTGCTTTTGCATTACAAAGCCTTGTTACGGTGCTCATCTGTACCCTATTAAGGGTTAATTAGTTTACAGAGATTCATAAAAATACCTATAACTAGGCTCATATGTGCCCTATTAAGGATTAATTAGTTTGCAGAGATGCATAAAAATACCCATAACTGGGCTCATATGTGCCCTATTAAGGGTTAATTAGTTTGCAGAGATTCATAAAAATATCCATAACTGCCTTATCTGAATTTTGCCTCTTGCCTGAAAGCAGCAAGGTGAATGGTTAGTGCAGGACTCCCATAGAACGTGTGCCTTGCCATTGGCAGATGAGCTTGCACTTTAATGGCCATTGCAGTGGTACCAAAAAAATCTGTTAATGAAATGCACATACAGTTTAGGATAGTGACAGTGTACTTTTTTTTATTTATTTTTTTATACATTGGCGCTGAATACTCTAGACACTGATGCCGTCCAAGAGTTGTGGGAATTTGAGTCAGGACTAACTTTTGTGTTTTTAAAGACAATATTGCCGAATACATCTGGAAAGTTAGAAGAACGTCTCAACTGATGTTATTTCAGGTGTTTTGTTAAATAATTTTATTTTTCCAGTTCTGTTTTATTAATTTTTTGGACAAAAATATCCAATTCCTTTACCAGCCCCTCACAACTCATATATTGAATAAGCAATTGGGAAACAATCTATTTTGCTGTCACTTACCTGCATGCCTCATACCCATTCTTTAATGCCACCTGAACTTTATCCATACTGGCAAGTGTTGAATTTTCATAGTTTTTGCAGATCGTTGTAGCGTTCACATAATCCAGATTGGTTTCTGTCGTCATAAACACTCCAGAAGTTACTGAAATAAAAGTGTGAAAATTATATTGTCTTTATATTGTTCTACTTCAGCCTAAATCATCGTTTTTGTCCGATGCCATTGTAAAAATTTTATACAGGGCTGCAGAAATTGTTGGTGCCATATAAAATTAGTCATTAGTATTATAAAGAGTGAGTCGTGTCGCCAAGCAATGTGTATGTAAAGGCTCCAGCCATCCCTGAACTGGTATGTAGCCAACCTCTCAATGACTCATTTATGATCCATATAGCATAATAGACAATAGATTTATTCTCTAAACAATGAATTGTAATATTTAGTGCAGGACTTGCTCAATCAACTTATAAAATATATCATTGTGCCATGCCAGTTCATGCCATGGGCATGTGCCTAATGCAGTATATATGCCAGCTGCCACAAGTAAATGAGATACTTTGGGGATATTGTTTATTTATTTATTTTGTAATGTTTGCAAGGTTATTTAAGGTCCATCACAAAATCAACCTATTTTAGTTTAACTAAATATATCATTCATGCGTTTATTTTTTTAATTTTTGTTTAGATAAATGTAGTAAAGCAATGTATTTTATTGCAAGATTCTATCTTTATTGCAGGTGTTACTTCTCAAAGATGAGGGTCCCATCAAATGGATGAACACTCTGAACAGTTTTTTTTAACTTGATGGTCACTGGGAATTTATTAACATTCAGAACTGCAGGGTATGGGGGTGGGTGGGTTGAGATGGCACTTAGCTAATCTATTACGCAAAATGAAAAATTAAAAAATTCATTATATTTTAGGACTTGCTTATCCAACCCAGACCATCAATTCTGGAGAAAATATTTGTATATGAAAATAATTGAGATTTGATGCATTGGGGTTGTATGCCTGAAACAGTTTAACAGGATTATTTGTGGATTAATCAGAATTACATTTTGGTTCCAGATATAAAGTTGTGGAATTGCCTCTCAGTTTCACATACAACTTTACTCTGACTAACAGCACTGCTTCTATTTCTTACAGAAGAATGAAATGAAATAACCGCTATAAAATCAGAAAGTTAAGACAGAGATTTCACATATACCAACTCTTTTCAGTGCACTGAAACCCAGCTTAATAATTACTAATATTTATATTTTTTGTTTCTCTTGATGCACTGGCCTTGTATTAATTATTTTCTTACATTTTTTACTTGTGTTATAAATCTCAGAGTAAATGCAATTGAATATAATTGTAAATAACAAAAGTACAATAAATGTGATAAATAGATAAAGGAGGTCACGCTTACCTTGTATGGATGGATCAAGTGCATGGGAATATTCAAGAATTGTGAATAAGTATAGGAGGAATAAGGTGCAATAAGACATGGTGTAATTTCTCTGCTCTAACAGGAGTAAAATGTCAGAAAAGAGGGGTCCTCTGCATATTTAGAATGATGGGAGGAATTTGGACTAACACTAATGTGACATCAAGTCCCCACCCGTATGAAGGTGAGGTTCTGACACAAAACGTGACGTAGTGACTTCGAGCATAGGAATTTAAACTACACCTGGGTCATATTGCATGCCCATCCCAAAGTAAAAATTTATTTTACTCTGATTTACAGGTATGTCTGGTTTTTTTCAAATCAAACGCTACACCTTTCTGATCCTCGGCAGATAATGTTCTATTTTTTTTTTATATATATAATTCCCAATTACAAATTAATATTTAGTACTGAACAAAGAGAAAAATGAATAAAATAAATATTAATTTCACAAAATGGTATACCTTCTATAAACAAAAAAGTAGATATATTTACAAACTTCTAAGGTGATGGGATTTATTCACTAAACCAGGCGTTGTGAGACATGGACAAGAATAAATTTGCCTTTTTTTAGGCCAAAATAGCTGGGCAGAAAAAAAAAATAATCTAAAATTTGCAATTTCCTGGTCGATTTTGCTCAGTTCCTAATTTAGAGAATAAACCGTTTGCTATTTCTAATAAAGACCATGCCATATATGGTTAGGGAGAAAATTCATAATTAATTTTCTTTAAAAAAAGTTCTCTCTTGATAGCCTCTAGTCAACTCACAAAAGCCATCATCACCTCTTCTTGAATTTTAGCGGATTATAGTCATCAAATAACATTCATATTATGCTCAGGTCTCTGTATTGTATGAGTTATCTCTGTACTGTATGGGGAGGATTAAAATACTGGGGGAGGATTCTGGCCCCACTATCTTAAAACGTCACCAGCGGCCACTGGTTAAGAGTTGGGGGTAGTGGGTTAGGGTAGTCTAAGGGGTAAGCAGTCCAATAGTGACTCTGTTAAAGTAGTGTAGGGGTTAGGGATTAGAGGTAGTGTGTCAGGGTAATGTAGGAGTAAAGAATTTGATGTAGTGTGTAAGGGTAGTGTAGGAGGTAAGGGTTAGAGGTAGTGCGTAAGGGTAATCTATGGGTTAAGGATATCTGTAGTGTGTAAGGGTAGTGTAGGAATAAAGGGTTAGAGGTAGTGTATAAGGGTAGTGTATGGGTTAAGGATATCTGTAGTGTGTAAGGGTAGTGTAGGAGTTAAGGGTTAGAGATAGTGTGTAAGGGTAATCTATGGGTTAAGGATATCGGTAGTGTGTAAGGGTAATATATGGGTTAAGGATATCGGTAGTGTGTCAGGGTAATGTATGGGTTAAGGATATCGGTAGTGTGTCAGGGTAATGTATGGGTTAAGGATATCGGTAGTGTGTCAGGGTAATGTAGGAATAAAGGGTAAGAGGTAGTGTGTAAGGTTAATGTAGGAATAAAGGGTTAGAGGTAGTGTGTTAGGGTAATGTATGGGTTAAGTGTGTTAGGGTAGTGTAGGAATAAAGGGTTAGAGGTAGTGTGTACGGGTAATGTATGGGTTAAGGGTATCGGTAGTGTGTTAGGGTAGTGTAGAAATAAAGGGTTAGAGGTAGTGTGTAAGGGTAGTGTAGGAGTTAAGGGTTAGAGGATTTGGGGAGTTTAGGGTTTAAGGGTTAGAGGTAGTGTGTTTGGGTAGTGTAGGAGTTAATGGTTAGAGGTATTGTGTAAAGGTATTTATGGGTTAAGGATATCGGTAGTGTGTGAGTTAAGGGTAGAAGGTAGTGTGTTTGGGTAGTGTAGGAATTAAGTGTTATGAGCATTGTGTTAGGGTGCAGAGGTTAATAGTTGCAATAGTCTAACTGTTAGGGATAGTGTATGACTGTAAAAGATAGGGATATCGCTATATTAAATGGCGACAGCTGCTGACTAATTTAAGCAGACCAGGGCTCCCATGGTGTACGTTGGTGAACCATGCATTCGTGCCCATTCCTTATTTGTGATAATTATACTGTCCTTTTATGTCTGTGTTCAGTGTCATACAGTCGCACCCTGTGAGAATATACAGTCCAGCCCTGACTTGACGTTGTGAATATTACATACTCATGACGCCTCAAGAGCCTGTTTTGAACAACACAATCTCTGTACAATGACCTCTGCACCCTGAAACACTAACTAAACTCGAAACTAGTGAAACAAGTACTTTTTTTTCATTCAACAGACTGTTTTGGAACAGCAAAACACCGCATGTACAGTAAATCAAGGTGATTTGAAGTGACATTTACAATCATCATTTTAAGGTTTTAAATTTAAGAAGAAAAGAATAAGAATAAAAAGATCCATCCAGATCATTTCAAATAGCGTAATATAATTTCTATTGAGTAGAGATTAACATCTTCAGTCTTCAGAAGGACTCTGTGTAGTTAGGACTTTTATGACTTTCATAAACAATGTCATTAGCGCTCACCTCGCTCCTCTCCTCATGTGATGTCACTTCTGCCACCAGACGTTTCATGGAAGAGTTTGATGAGAAAATAAAAGAGTGATAAGTAAAAGAGTTAAAAAGTAAAAGAGTAAAGCACCGAAAACTTCTCCCCATCATCAAGGATCTCCCAAATAAGTATTGGGGGCACTAGAGGTTTACTCCCCATACTGATTGCCTTTCCAACAAGTGGCCCTCCACCAACTAACCACCTCTGTGTCCGTAAATGTAAATGTCCCATGGGTATCATTGTTCAGAATGCTTTGTGCTGGTATAAGAGATGATTGCAAGTAAGGTTTTATTTCTTCTACCCTAAAGGAAACGCAGCCAGTTCCCCTATTTACCACTATAATGTCTTAAAGCATAGAACCACGTTTTATTGTTAGGGGCATCAGGACATATCCAAGGAGGCAGGCACAATGACTTAGCTGCGTTCAGTAAATGTCTCCGGATTGATTTCTTGTGCTTTGAATTGGGCAGGGGAGTGGTGTATAGGAGGACATTTTTTAAATTCAAAAAGTCAAGGGGCATCAAAAATTTTGGCCCAGTATTCTATGATGTTTCACTGGCACTCACAGAACTTTCTAAATTTCCACTACTTGTTAATATTCACAGTGTATCTGTAGGAAAACTACTAAAATTGAGTATTTTAAGTATATCTATTGACTGGGTTGGAATTTTTTGTAAAAAATGTAAATATTTCATAAGATGTAAATTTTTGAGGGGGAGTGGGAAGAGGGGTGACAGAGCTTCCTTAAATGGAACCTATAGTTTTGTTTTCTTAAAAGTTGTTTGGGATTATTTGGGATTATAGCTTCCCTTCTGTCCACCCCCTTTTGGCATTAGAATATTAGAGTTACAAAATGATTACTCACTACCATTTCAGTACCGGGACTCCTCTACTGCAGACTCCAGCTCCTCCTCTGATGATGCTGATGTCATCTGAGATAAAGACACCTCCCTGGACTGACAAGGAAGGGGGGACATGACTGCGGCTAGGTTAAGGAGTCTTGAAGGAGTAGTGGAAGGGAGGGGTATAGATGGATACATAGTTGCTAAGATGGAAGACAGTTATAAGCACAGTTAGGGGAGGGGACTTACCAGTCAGCTTTTGGAAGTGCAGGGATCCTGACTTTCATCTGTCCTTATTTGCTGACCCCTTTAAAAAAAAAAGAAAAAAAAAAAAGAACACTATTATTCTTCTGAATTTCACCTTACCTGTTTTTCCTGAATTTCTGAGGGTGATGGAAGTTTCCCAGGAATCATTGGTGGCCCTGTTGCAGGCTTACCGGGCTGCACATGGTGCAGGCTCGTTGGCAGCGGTGTTGGACGGTGTCCCAGGCGAAGAGGCAAGGCCAGTGGATGAAGGGCGGCGGGCCAGGCGTTCAAGGCCGCCGTCGCGACTGTCTCCCAGCCCGGTGAGAGGAGAGCGAGAAGGCCGCAGGCGCAGGCGGACTGGTGTGGCTGGTGATGTGGAGCCGAGCCTTGGGTCCCCCTCCCGTGCGGTCCGGTCCCAGGTGAGGGTTGCGGTGGCCTCCGGCGGCCAATCCCAAGATGGCGGCATGGCGGGAAGGTCGAGAAGCCCGCCGCCTTTTCTTCCGGCGCGGCCGGAAGTGACGTCACGACGCCGGTCGCGCACGGCCGGCGCGCCGGATGTGACCTCATCTGCCGGCAACGGGCAAAACCCGGAAGTGGGTGCCCGCAACGGAAATAGGAGGCCGGGCGCCAGGAGATGGCAGGCGCCGGCTGAAGAGACCGGAACTAGGGGTGCTGTGAGCCGGACAGCAGCCCCAAGGAGATGGGAGTCCCCAGGGCCGGGCAGTTCAAGGGGTGCTGCGGATCAGGCGGCAGCCCCAAGGTTGCTGGGCTGCCAGGATGCCGGCGGTCGGGAGGCCGTGTCGGTTGTAGCCCCCCTGGGAGCTGGGAGGCTCCAGGGCGATTCCGGGGAGGAGGAGGAGTCCGAGGAGGAGCGTGAAGCTGATGGAGAACGGCCCCTGCGCCTCCCCTCATTTGGTGAGTTGGCATGCGCTGGCGCTTGGGGTTCGGCAGGGGGATCTGGTCAGGATAGTGAGGTGTTGCGCCTGCTGAGGCTTTTAGTGGAGGGTCAAGCCAGGGGCAGTGGTCTAGGGGTTCAGGGTTCAGGTAGTACGGATAGTTTTAGGGGGCAGGGGATGGGAGTTGGTTCCTTTCTCCCGGGGTGCGAACTGGCCCCTTTAGGTTTGCACGTGCCTGCTGAGGTGCAGGAGAAGATTATTCGGGGTGAGTATGTGGATCTCCTTTCGCTGGTTCCGCCGGACAAGGAGTCCGTGGACAGACCGCGCCGTGGTGAACAACTGGACGGAGAGAAGGGTAAGGCAATCCCGCGTACGTTCGGTAATTGGCTGCAGGGATTTAATATCTTTGCTAGCGTGCTAGTGCGTCGGTTCCCTGAGAGGGCCCCCTCGTTATTTGGGTATTTGGATTTAATTTGGGGCGCTTACAAGGTTTATGGGGGACAGTGCTGGTTCAAATACGACCAGCAATTCCGCCAGAAGATGGCGGCATGTCCGGGTATGGGCTTCGGGGTGCAGGACGGCAGCCTGTGGCTGCTACTGATGACCCCGTGTAGACCCTCCCCCTTTTCGGGGGCTGCCGGCGTCCCCATGGGGACGTCGGCAGGTCAGCGGAAGGGAGTTTGTTGGCTCTTCAACGAGAGCCACTGTAAGTGGTTTAGCACCCGGCTCTCCGTTGTTTCAAAAAGGGCAGACCGTCTGCCGCCAAAGGCTCTGGTAGGGACGACGTTCCTCTTGGCGAGGACGCCGGTGAGCGTGGAAAAGATGCGTCCCTGGTTAAGCAAGTATCCTAAGAGGGACGTTGCAAGCCTTTTGTTCGACGGTTTTACAATAGGTTTCTGGATTCCCTTTGTGCTGTCGGACGAGGGCCGGTTTGCTGGGAATCTTCGGTCCACGCAGGGTAGGGAGGGTTTATTGCAGGAAAAGCTGGAGGCGGAGATTCAACGGGGCCGCATGGCCGGTCCCTTTGATTCCCCCCCATTCCACAACCTGAGGGTGTCTCCGTTGGGTCTGGTACCCAAAAAAGACCCGGGAACCTTTCGGTTGATTCACCATCTCTTGTACCCTTCGGGGGCGTCGGTCAACGATGACATTTACAGGGATGCGTGCAGGGTGCGTTATGCGTCCTTTGACTCGGCCTTGCTACTCCTGCGGCGGGCCAGTCGTGGGGCTTTATTGGCAAAATCGGATATTGAATCGGCCTTTCGTTTGTTGCTGGTTCATCCGGATTGTTTTCACTTGTTGGGGTGTTTCGCGAACGGTTGCTTCTATTATGATATGTGCATGCCTATGGGTTGCGCTATATCTTGTTCTTATTTCGAACTGTTTTCTTCCTTTTTGGAGTGGGTCACGTCTAGAGTTTCGGGTTTGGGGTCTCTGACCCATTACTTGGACGATTTTTTGTTTGTCGGTCCGTCGGGTTCCCAGGATTGTATGGTGTTGCTTCGGGCCTTCGGAGTTCGGGGTTCCTGTTTCGGAACAAAAAACGGTCGGCCCGGTGTTGGTTCTTTCGTTCTTGGGTATCGAAATCGATACCGAGAGCATGGTCTTCCGGCTTCCTGAGGAGAAGTTGGAGGGGTTGCTTCGGTTAGTGGACTTGGTCAAAGGTTCCAAGAAGGTTCAGTTGCGACAGATGCAGGGCCTTTTGGGGCACTTGGTTTTCGCATGTCGGGTGTTACCGATGGGTCGGGCATTTTGTCGCAGGTTGTCCTTGTCCACGGTGGGGGTGAGGGAACCCTTCCATTACATTCGGATCACGAGGCGCCTCCGGTCAGATCTGACGGTGTGGAGCTCCTTCCTACGTAGTTATAACGGGCATTCTTGTTGGTTGCGGGAGGCCACCTCCAATGCCGCGTTGGATCTCTTTACCGATGCCTCGGGGTCCGTTGGTTTTGGAGCGTATTTTCGGGGTCAGTGGTGCGCGGGGGAGTGCCCGGAGGATTGGCGGTCTTCCTTATTGAGGAGGAATTTGACCTTTTTGGAACTGTTTCCGATAGTGGTCGCGCTGGAGCTGTGGGGCGAGGATCTGAGAAATCACACGGTGGTCTTTCACACGGACAACATGAGTGTGGTTCATGTGATTGCCCGTTCGTCCTCCTCGTCTCCACCAGTTTTGGCTCTTCTCCGTCACCTCGTGCTCCTTAGTCTTAAGTTTAATGTTTGGGTGCGGGCGCAGCATGTCCCGGGTGTTCAGAACGTGATGGCTGATGCATTGTCTCGCTTGCAGTGGGAGTGGTTTCGCGAGGCAGCGCCAGAGGCGCAGCGGACCGGTCTGCGGTGTCCAGACTCCTTATGGAAGCTCGATTTCGAGGTCTGATGGGCTTGGTATCAGATTCCTTGGCGGAGTCTTCCTGGAAGGCATACCGGGCAGTGTGGAGGCAGTGGCTGTCATCAGCATGGGACGGGGATGTGTCCACGGAATCGGGTCGTGCGGAGAGGACGCTCGTGTTGCTGGATGACTTGGTCAGGAGAGGTAGGTCCTGCGCTGCAGCGAAGAAGGCGTTGGCTGCCCTGTCGTTCCTGTTTCGCTTTATGGGCTGGCAGGATGTTACTAAGGAATATGGGATTCAGAGGGTGGTCAAGGGTTGGCGGCTGCGGCGTCGCCCGGATGGTCGTCGCCCAATTTCGGCTGAAATGTTGCGACGGATTATTTTAGTACTACCGACGGTCTGTGGTTCGGAGTACGTATCGAAGCTGTTTTGCGTGGCCTTCTCGGTCTGCTTTTTTGGTGCCTTTCATATCGGCGAATTGGTGGCCCCGAGCAAGGGGAAGGCCTCGCCGTTGGCATTGTCGGATGTGCGGTGGTCTACTTCCACCATCGACATTTTTGTGCGGCGATCTAAGACGGACCAGGCGGCCCGGGGGGCTTGGGTTCGTTTGGGGGCCACGAGGGACGAAGTTTGTCCGGTTGGGGCCTTCCACGATTTTCTGGAGGTGCGCCCGGAGCGGGGAGGCCCTTTGTTAGCTCACGTGGACGGGTCTCCTCTAACCCGGTATCAGTTCTCGGCGATGTTGAAGAGAGCATTGGTGGAGAGTGGCATGGATGGTCACGGGTTTTCGGCCCATTCCTTTCGGATCGGGGCGGCTACCCAGGCGAGTGTATTGGGGTACTCGGCTGCGGGAATTCAACGGATTGGAAGATGGGGGTCGGGGCGTTTTAAGTCTTATGTCCGACCTCATATGCTGTAACTCTCTTCTCGTTGTAGGTGGTCGGCCCCAGTACGTGTGGATTATAGGGCATTCCTATGTGTACTGGGCAGCTAGGCGAGTTGAAAGCCGGGCCTATGGACGGAATTTGGGGTTTTCGTTGGACGTGGCCAGAGTAAGGTGGAAGGGCATTAGGGGCCTCCGGTGGCAGCAGATTTATCCAGAGTTCGTGGCCCTGCGTAAGTTTGTGTCAGGGCCGGTGGTGGCGGTGGTCCACGCGGGCGGTAACGACTTAGGGGTATCCAGGACTGTGGACCTTCTCCACGCGATTCGGCACGACTTGGCAAGGTGCATGGCGTTCTTTCCAGACATGACCTTGGTTTGGTCGGAGGTGGTTTCCAGGCCGTGCTGGCGCGCGCTTCCGCACTCTCGCGGTTTGGAGAAGAGCCGGCGCAAGCTGAACATCGCAGTGGGGAAATTTGTACGGCGGCTAGGTGGGGCGGTCATCCGACACGTGGAGCTGGAAGGAGAAAACCAGGACTTGATGAGAAAGGATGGGGTCCACTTAAATGAAATAGGGTTAGACATCCTGAACACGGGTTTGCAGGGTGGGATTGAGGCTGCGCTGTCGGCGGGGGGCGCGATGACGGCAGGAGGCGTGAAGGGAAGTCGTCATCGCGGTGGCGGGAGTCCTGGCCAGTGCAGGCAGAAGTGGTGAAGTTGCCGAGGAGGCTTGGGGAGTCGCAGCCTGTTGGGAGCTGATGGCGGAGGCAGACTATTCAGGACTCATGGTTTGTGGGGATAGACCTCTCTGTTGGGCAATCACCCCAACAGCTGACAGTATGATTATGTTGCTGGCATGGAAAGAATAAATAAAGCTGTGGCCGATGCCCTTACCCAACTTAATTACGGTCTCTGTGTGTCATTGGGGAAAGGGGGGCATCGGGTGGGTGGTACAGACATCTAGACAGCAGTCAAGACACCTCCCTGGACTGACAAGGAAGGGGGGACATCACTGCGGCTAGGTTAAGGAGTCTTGAAGGAGTAGTGGAAGGGAGGGGTATAGATGGATACATAGTTGCTAAGATGGAAGACAGTTATAAGCACAGTTAGGGGAGGGGACTTACCAGTCAGCTTTTGGAAGTGCAGGGATCCTGACTTTCCCGCCCTCCCGCCCCTAGGACATTTGGTTATACAGGAATGTGGGTTTGGTTTTCTGGTGCCTGTTGTTGGTTGTTTTTTCTTGTTTTTGTCACAGCACACGGGAGTCCTGGCCAGCGCAGGCAGAAGTGGTGAAGTTGCCGAGGAGGCTTGGGGAGTCGCAGCCTGTTGGGAGCTGATGGCGGAGGCAGGCTGCTCAGGACTCATGGTTTGTGGGGATAGACCTGTCTGTTGGGCAATCACCCCAACAGCTGACAGTATGATTATGTTGCTGGCATGGAAAGAATAAATAAAGCTGTGGCCGATGCCCTTACCCAACTTAATTACGGTCTCTGTGTGTCATTGGAGAAAGGGGGGCATCGGGTGGGTGGTACAGACATCTAGACAGCAGTCATGTCCAATGCAATGCTTCTCAGAAAATGAATGGATTGGAAATAGGCATGCGTGGCCGAATACCACCCTCTTTAAATCAAATGTTGCTATCAGCAGCATTAGACTGGAAGATCTACTTTTGCTCTGTCCTGGAGCGGGAAGCTAGATGTGTATTTAACGCTTCCATGTACAAAACTGCAATGTTTTGCATTGAAAGGTTAAAATAACAGAACCACTGCAACCAGACCAGTTCATTAAGATGGTGGCCCTTTAATGAAAACAAATTCACTCTTTTATAAGACTGTATCATCCTTAATGAATGATACATAAGAGGGATTTTTTCTAATGTTGTTTTGGTCAGGCGTGACTTAAAATTAAGGTTGGGTTTTGGTGGTACATGGTTGCACAACTGATGGTCATATTGTTAGAGCACCTGTTGAATGAACACCCGCCTGGTTTAACCAGAGCTCACTGCTTGCAAATGATTTATTTTAAAACCTCTCCAGTACCCACGCCAACGTAACTATGCCACTCACTGTGTGAGAAGGTGCCTGAATACATACATTCTGATATATGCACCGATACATTTGTGTTGTTTTAAATTCATTTAAGCAGTACTGAAAATTATAGAAAGCAAACGATACTATATTTGTATTTACCTAATTTGAGACTGGGCCAGTTTGGGACTATCAAGGCACAGCATGGCATGCAATTCAAATAATTTGTACTCCCATGATTTCATGCATAAACGCCAAGGAAGGAATGCCCATGCACAAATTCTGATTTGATAATGCTTGTTTATATTTTTCTCAAATTACTTTTTTTAAAACATTTTATTTGAATAGCATAAGCACTTCAGGATTGTTTTAAGCCTTCCTATCAATTCAATAAACTTTCTATGTGTTTGAAAACAAACATAAATTGTTAAAGACATGAAATACAAGGATGCATATTACATGAAAAGAATAATAGACTAACAGGGTCAGGAGCATTTTGGGTGCCAGTTAGGGGTTCCAGTCCCCATGTTTCTCTTCCAAGCTCTGGGTGGCAGAGAATTATGTGAGTTGTAGTCTAAGAAAGATCTAGGTTGGGGTTGCAATTTGACACCTGCTAGAAGGTTTCTAGTCTCCAGTGTAATAAACAAATGTGTGTTCCTAATGCTATGGTGCCCTGTTAAATGTTTAGGTCTCATAAAAAATAGTTTAACGTACCTTTTTTCTACTGCCGTAATGGTCTCCACACTGCCGTCTTGCCTCCTTGGCTGATATCATAGATATCGATGATCTCAGCCAATCATATGGTCTTTATGAAACCATCTGATAGAAATAGCCACGTTTTATTTGGTTATTTCAGAGGAAGAACCTCTAGCGGCTGTCAGAGTGACAACCACACTAGAGGCATTTAAACCTGGCAATGTTTTAGACTGCAGGGACAAAATTTCAGGGACTTGGAACCCAGACCATTTATTCGAGATGAAGTGATCTAAGTGCACATAGAGTCTCTTTAACTACACACCACTGAGTTTGAGGCACTTAGAAAAAAATATAGGGTGAGATAAAGATTAGTTCTCTGTTCTGATGCATTAAAGGGAAACTGTAGGCTAGGAATAAGAACTTGTATTCCTAGCACCATAGCTCCCTATAGTGCCCCGCTCCCCGCAGCGCAAAGACCTTTTGTCACTTACCTGAATCCAGCACCGATGTCCCTTGGCCCCCTCTTCCCTGATGTCAGGGACCTAATGTGCATGCGCGGTGAGCAGGGCCAGTGCACCCAGACCACTTCAATGAGCTGAAGTGGTCTGAGTGCCTATAGTGTCCCTTTAAGTGCTGCAATTAAATAATAAAAAAAAGAAAACTGTCATAATATTTTATATAATAATAACACTGGCATTAGAGTACAAATAGATAAATCAGTGATTATTAACCCTTGGTTGGGGATGTGATAATGCCTTAACAGGCTGGAACAAATACATTATATTGATTAGTCCCCAGACAACTGTCCGTAACAAACTGGCTACTGTAACAGCATGGCTGCAGAGAGCACTCTGACTGGGAAAAGTCTAATAAAGGGGATTTTCTAAATATATTTCAATACTAACTATATATTACTGAATCTAAAGCAGAACGGCCACATGTGAGATTTTGGCATAACTGAATAACTAGGTTAGTTTTTTTTAGAAATCTCACCTGTTTCCATTCAAGCAGTTAACATACCATACCAGGTACATTGGGCATGGTACCCCATTACCCCATTATGTCCTAATATTAATATGTATTGATATTGTACCGCGCTATGGAATCTGATGGTGCCATATAAATAATAAAATAATAATAATATGCTAATATTGAAGTATGAACTTCTACTTTAGCATAGCTGGACAGACCAGAAAGGCCACTTGTGCCCTTGACAGTGGTAATGGTGCTTAGAGTATCTCTTTAATAACGGGTTACGAAGCTAAAGAATATCCTTAATTTGGTTCTCGGACAAAAAGAAAAAAGAACAAAAAAAAAGAAACGTTAAGAATCCCTGTGCTAAATACCACTGAAGCACTAGGAATGGAATGAAGTTTGAGGCCCTCTATAGGAGGAGAAGCAGAATGCAAGCTGAAAGATGAACCCACAATAGCAGAATTTTTTTTTTTTTTAGTTTTCAGACATCGCTTGCATCACAAGTGGCACACATAGTGTCTGGATATGTCATCATGCTGCTGCATTATCAAGCATAATCAAAAATATTAAGAAAAAGAATACAGACAAAACAGGAAAAAATATATATATAAAAATATTAACCCCTCTCCCACCCCCGCCTTCACCTATTTAGCCGTCATCTGCAATTATATTATGAAGATGGTGTCAAACTATGTATACCTTCAGGTTCTTCTATAACCGTGGCACCAAAACTGCCATATCTTATATTATCCCTCCAGGTTTGCCTGGGCAGTGAAAAATCCCTTTACCATCAGAGCAGATTGATTGATCTGATTTTTGGCCGCTTGCCTGCTTATTAACTTTAGATTTTTCCAAAGGTACTTTAGTTATTGAAATATCGTAAAAAAGCCTAAAAGTGTTGTTTCTTAGGGATATTGGATATCAAAAACAAAAGAAAATCAGAAGAAAAAGAAAAAAAAACATTTTAAAATTGTCCAACACAATTTACCGCGAGATGACCGCGGATTTTGTCCAGTATAGTATTATCTTCTGAGATAATTTAGATGGCCAGTCTTCTTTTAGTGCAAGACTAGATTGATTATTATAGCTCTAATTTTTGTTTCCAAAAACCCCAAATTTGATAAGATTTAGATTCACATCCCTTTGTAATACTAATATTTCTTTCCATTCTTAATTGAAACTGTAATTGGTTCATAACTTCCTTCCATCTAGGGCTTAAGGGAGTCTTCCAGTTACGTGCTATTAAAATTCTAACCGCAAGCAAACAATGTAGAATTAAGTAGTAGTTTTTATTATTCATGTTTGGCCAATTTAAGTGTCGATAGGTAGTTTCTGGAGTAGATTTCATTTCGATATTTGTATTTCTATTTATGTAATAAACTATTTTTTTCCAAATAATAATGTCACAACAGCTCCACCATATGTGGATAAATGAACCATTAGATTTGTTACATCTCCAGCATAGTGGTGATTGGTTATCATACATTTTTGCTAATCTTGTAGGTACAAGATACCACCTATACATCACTGTAAATTGGGTTTCCAGACAGTTTATACAATGCATAACCTTCCCACACCTTGCCCAGACTGTGTTAATTTATCTAGTGAGATCAAGACATCCATTTATTTTGATATTACTCTTTTTACTGGTTCGTATTTAATAATATTGAGAAGTTTATCTATTATAATTGTTTTTTGTTTTATTAAGTTTTTATTTATAATAAAATGTATCCTTAAATAATTGAAGATTTCTGAGTAGCTGAAATTTTTGTCTTAATTGTGGGAAAGATTTTTCTTCATATTTTATTATAATTTGGCTTATAGCGAGGATACCCCTCCGTCTCCACTGCTCTAGACCAATGTCCATAATGTATTGTTACAGCGAGTTTACAGGGATCAATTCTGGAATCTGATCTTTTATGCCTCATTTATTTTTTAGTCCTGTCCAGAACCCCAATATCTAATCTAAAATAGTATTATCACTTCTAGCATCTTTAAATGTTTTTGATTTTTTTTCTGGATTCTTTAATTGAGCAGCAAGTGATTTATCTGCCCTTTTCCCTTTACTA